ATTGCTGACATCTTAGGCAACATAGAAATGTGTGTTTATGCTTTTTTATAATAGTATAGATAGTATAGATTGACAAATACCTCATTCTCATGTGAGCTGCCCATAACATAGAAGAAGAGGTCCACATTGCTTTTGTAGACACATGTCAAGCCGTCCAACATTATGATCTCAGCATTGGCCCTGGAAACATTTAATATTGGCAACTTTATAAGACATCAAACACTTATAACCTGAAAAACTAAATAGGAAAAAGAAAAAAGTATCTGTCAGCACCGGGAGGGAACAAATAGAAAAAAAACTATATTTTTTGGGTAGTTGCAATAACCTTAGTTGTTACTATTATAGTATTAGTAGGAGGAACTGTATATACAAATAGGGACATATAGAACTTAATGAGAGGTTCAAGAACACAGGCGTCGGACTAGATCTTAGGATGGCAACACCTTAGTAAACCATAATAGCCCAATGTGAGGTGGTTGACTATGCAAATTCATGGAATTTCTTCAAATATATCTGTTTCATTCAATGTAAAACCACTTAGATAATGCTGTTGTATACTTTACCTGTGTGTCTTGTTGAATAGGTTTTTTTCAAAAGCTTTCTGTTCCTTTGTAGTTGTAAGTATGTTTTTGTCATAATACTTAGCTAAGATTCTGTTGCCTTCGTTATCCAATATACACATGCCTTTCACTATGTATAAAGTTGGCTCCTGGAATTGAAATAACATAAAATTATGAACAAAAATTTGCTATTTAGGATTTTGTATTTGTAAGTACAAGAAATTACACTTGACTTTTTGATACATTTAATTTTATTTTTATAAAGCTTAAGTGATCTATCCATGTAATCATTAAAAAATATAGCTATGATGTTTTATTGGAGAAAATTTCATGTCGCTGAAATAGATGAAAAACCAGTACAACATCTCTTAAATTCCTCATTGAAAATACTTTACTGCAGCTGATTGCTTCGTGTGGTTTATTAGATATGTAAAACCTCTTTTTTGAAGTCGGTATTAAAGAAAATCTATAAACACGTCATTGTTTCATGTAGGTTAGAATTCCAATTTTGTAAATACAAATAATTTTAAGTTTCTTACAAATAAAGAGCCTTCCATAGATGTGTGAACCATTTTTCAATATTTTTACACTTTACCTAATCAAATTACAGAGAAAAGAGTAACTTATTTAGTGTATTTTTAGTGTTTATTTATTTTGACGTTTCTAAGACGAGTTTGAAATTGAAAGAATATGTGACGTGACAGTTCCAGTGTTACCAAATTATAATTACAGCTAAGTAATTTATATTGATTGGATACTCTTTTTCTCTCTTTGAGAAATATGTTTTAGTGACATACTAAAATCGTAATTATATTAGAAGTGTTTATTATAGTACTTTTTTTTATTTTAGTTTTCAGACTATAAATTATTAATATACATAACATTATTCCAAACGTGATCAAATATCCTGACTTCTGTACTTTGAGCGCCCGTTTTTATTATAAATACAATTTATTTTCCCATTTCAGCAGATAAGAGAAGAGGTAGAGAGCTGATAATGGGTTCTGAGCCATGTTGGCCCGAATCTTTTTATACCGCCACCTGTGATCTCCGCCTATTTGTTTTAGGACCCACTAAAGGGCTTTCTGGCGGATTTGAGTAGGAGTAGGAGAGTGTGGCCAATCCCAGACTATTTCCCTACTAAAGGTTCCATCACATTACATCAATATAGGTATAGCTAACTATATTTTGTCGTCTAGTAAGTCAAACTTATCAGGCTAAATGTCAAAGTTACAGCTGGCTCTTATCCAAGTTCACTCTCATTAATCACTCCTCGCTAGCGTTATTTTGACTTTAAGCAATTTAAAGAAGAAGAAAAAATACTGTACATGCAATTAATTACCATCCTAAGTATCCAATATGGAGCATGTACTTGTAAATCGATTCTACGAAAAAATAAAACATAAAAGTTTTCGATAAAACCAAGTTTTGTTTTAATTTCGCACTTTACTAATATTAAATATTCGAAAATTTTGATGGGTGGATGTATGTTTGTTAGAGTTTGTAGCCTAAACAGATATATATACATGTTAAATCTTGAAGAACACATCGGCTACCTATCTTTTTTTTCTTAATTCCACGCAGACGTAGTCGTTGGCAAAAGCTAGTATACTTATAAAAATGTAAAACAGACACAAACAAAATTTAATGGTAATTGAATCGCTTCATTTAAATATCTCGTTTCAAGAGCGTATTTTTAGAATTGGAAAGTTACAAATCAATGTAAATCAAAACAAAATCGTTAAGGAAATAAATAATATGGAAGTAACGTTTTAATTACTTTAGAGCTATGATGTGACACGTTATGGCGGGGATATGGCAGCCGAGAATAGACGACATAGTCTTTGATGTCGCCGAATCAAATTACAAAAGTAAAACTTCCTCCAGACGTTAGATGTTCCTCTGATAGATGTACGTGGATCTAATTTAGGTTTATTTCTGCCTATTGTAACTTGAATTACAAACGGAGAAAATAAAAGGAATTACAAAAGTGTAAACATAAAACAAATTTATATTATTATTTTTAATTTTGCATCTGTCAAAGTACGATAAAATTTAGGCTGCACACGATATAAAACTATTTACTGAATGTCTAACGAAAACTATGGACTCGTTCAACCAATGAATTCTAATTATATTAGCAGTAAATTACGTAAATTACTTCAAAATGCTACGAAATGATTTAATTACTCTGGCAGAGGAACACATTTCCTCATTACTACGCTTAATTGACGCTTCCCTATACATTCCAGATCGTATTTCCCTTTCTAATTGCTACCGAAATACACTAAAACACAACTAAACCAAACTAAAATACAGCCACGAACCGTAACGACCGCGGTAAACGATTCACATAAGACAGAAAAAAGTTGAATAACTACCACCACATTTTGACCATTGAATACCTATACGTTCCTCACATGAGCAGATCTTGTTATAATTGCCGACTATTTTGGGATAGCATATTCATAAATTTCAGTGGACGGCGTTCGTCTAAATCATTTTAACGCCAAAACTGAGCTTAAATGATGTTTGAAATTATATTTAACGTTACGACACGGATACGATACGACATTAATTTTTCGTTTTTTTACACCATATATTTTTTTAATCCATTAGGACAATAAGACATAGCTGTCTTTACCATGTATCGGTTAATTTTCATATTAAAGGTTGTGAAATTATCGAGAGAAAAGTGTGCAAAATCGTAGGACTCGTCGAAGGACCATAACTTTAAAGTTGGTAGATAACTGTTTGAAGTAATTCTTTGCTATCATCAGGCCAGCAATTACACTTATTGCATTAGTACAACCATAGAAAATATTTCTTTAATGTTATGTTTAATAAAACTATTAAAGATATCGTGACAAATAAAGCAGCACTTGTCAAAAGCCGCGCGTAACCGCCAACTGACAGATGTCGCGCCACGCTCGGACAAACACGAACTAAACTCGCAGGGCTACCAACAACTAAATAATTCCAGGTATCACCAATTCGGGCGTTCGACTAGATTTATTTACGTGAAGCAACGATATTTTGTAAATGTTTTCATAATTAAATAGTCCATTTAGCATTTCGCTAAAATCTATTATGACGTTAATATTAAAGTTGTCAACTAAATCCACAACTAGGTTACGCGATAACAAATGCAAACGAGTTCTATTTAGTTCAGGAAAATAGTTTGGCGCAAAAATGTTACGAAAGTCTGGAAGGCTGCAGATGAGTTTTCTATAGGTTTTTATACATATTTTTGGAGCCAGGAGTGTTTAATATCATTTTATTATTGTCCCACACAACCATGGCGACAGGTTCATTTAATGTCACGTATATCTGATTGAAATAGTGATTCTTATATCGGTAAAAATACAATGAATAAGCTAGAATCATTAAAGAGACATTTATCACTGATATAACACGTCTCGTACACGGGAAAAGCTGACCTGACACTTTGCTACCAAAAAAATCGGCGAGACGAAAATATTGATCTTCGTATCGTCGATTTTTTATCCTCCGTTCAGTTAGTCCGAAACAGAAGGATTAATTCCCTTAACTCAATTGGGGTAGAAAGAGATTTTCAATTGTGTTTCTCATTACGTACAAGTCCTTAAATTCGTATTATGGGTACATCAGTTTTTGCCTGCGATTTCGTCTGCGCGGAATTAAAAAAAACTGTCAAATATCATTAAGATCCGTTAAGTTTTGCATCTACGTAATAACAAACATCCATCTCTGAAGACTATCACATTTAAAAAACCCTTTGCAAATTGGAAACAAACATTATATCGTTGTTTTGAGTCGCAATGTTATTGTAAACTGGTGTAAAACAGCCAAAGACATTTAATATGCATAGATACGCCACGAAACAAATCGTAATCCACGAATTGCTACCAAACACTCAATAGTCTAGTTGGAATCTATGAGTTGTGTTTGTTTTCTATCGACGATTGCGTTAGTAACAAGTGACGACTACAATAAAAGTGTTCGAATATGCAAGCCATCTATTTGAAAACCACTTGTATCTAGTTCCAGCTAAACAAATTATCACGTAAGGTTATTATTACACTAATATCGATTTATGAAATGCTTATAATTTCTACTAAATTCTTCATACAAATATTTCTCTGCTATCTACGTATAATAATAATAATGTTGTTTTTTATATTTTAAATTTTTGCTTTAATGGACATTTTACATTAGAGAAGAATGACTATAAGCTTTTAACTTATAACTATTATTTACGAGAATATACAAAATAAAAAAAGATATACAATTAATTACATCGTTTTGTAAAAGACTTGACACATTACATAGTTGTCATTTGAATAAAAGCGGTAAATGTGTCAGAACTTAATGACCATAGAGTAAAAAGTATTAAAGTGCTTACGTCATTGTCTTTGGTCAATGACTGGAGATCGGAGAGCATACAGCCAGGGCCGGCTATTATTTTCTTTTTTTTTCGTAATCGCTACGCCGCTAGTGTGACAGACTATTTATAAAGGCGTCTCTTCTTTGACCATTACTTTGTGTCTTTGATATCTGTGACTATTTGTCTCTATTGTGTTTTGTGATACACCGCCTCAGTCATTAGGCGTCTTTATTTTTAATAATATTGCGTCGGCCGGTGAGAAATAAAAAGTTAGCATAAATAGATTAATTATGGTTCTGTATTGCATGTAGGTTTTAATTAATTTAACAAGTAAAACATTTTATATCAAGAAATTGAAATACGAAACATTTTAATGTAATAAGAAAAATGGAAACTATAAGAACTGATAGATATAGAAATAAATATACGTTGGAAATGTTCAGATTTATTTTAAACTAGCTTATGCGTGCGACTCCGTCCGCGCGGAATAAAGAAAAAAACAAAAGCAAGTGGCCTATGTGTTCTTCCAGACTATCCTCTACATCTATGCCAAATTTCATCGAGATCTCTTCAGCCGTTTAGGCTACAAACTCTAACAAACATCCATCTATCCATCCATCCGTCCATCTAAAGTTTCGCATTTATAATATTAGTAAGAAGTAATATGTGATATTATCCATTTTTATACTGCCAAATAAACTTGGTTTCAATTCTACCCTTAGAATAGATTATTGGTTTAGGCGGTAAATTCTGTTTTCTAATAATCTTAACCAACACCAGTCTGTATGGGTTTGCCGTTTACTTGCATTTGTTAATAATAGGCTAGAATTGTTAGCAATTCTATTTCTCTATATCGACATTCTCTTGTCTATTTTCGGCCAGTAACTAAATAGGTTATGTTAAAAGTGAATTCCATCTAACACAGTTTTCAGAATAAGGATGTATTCGGTTCAACGATCTTTTCTATACAAATTTTAATGTTTGTATGTAAAACTTTATGGTAAAACGTTGAATCCTTTTAAAAGTAAACACTCGTGATAATTATTATAAATGTACACGGAGTTTTTCTAAATCTAAAGCACATCTAAGTCGACGCGAGCATTAATATAGAGAAATATTCTTTTTTTTTTTGCAATGTTTAGTAAATTTACTTATGATAAACATTATTAGATTCGCATACAAATTACTGTAATTTTAACACGTTAAATCTATACTAATATTATAAAGAGGAAAGATATGAATTTTTGTATGTATTGTAATAACTCAAAAACTACTGCGCCGATCTTAAAAATTCTTTCATTGTTAGAAAGGTAATTTA